CCCAGAGTTTAAATAATCTAATGATGCTCCTTTCTTCAGAAGGTCCTCTCTGACCGCCACCTCCTCCCATGAATGGGCTGGGCGTATGTCCTGAGGCTTTCAGACATCTTGGGCTAACAATGATAGAACTGAACACACCATATCCAGCGGCTCATTTATGAATATTGCCCTTATAGGTTCCTTGAGAGGAGGTACATATTGTTCACTGTTGGGTCCTCAGTGCCTAGTACGGTGCATGACACATAGGACACTCAAGAAATCTTTGTGGCTTCTTAACTTAATGATCCATTTTAAATTAAGGCTCAAAAGATCAACTCAGTTGGTTTTGTAAGACCAAGCTGGATGGTCACGTGTGCTGAAGGCAAAGATAGATGTGTGTGTGTGTGTGTGTGTGTGTGTGTGTGTGTGTCTATGTGCAAAATGGATCATTAAGATAAGAAGCTAGTCTGCAGTCAGAGAAAATAAAAGCATATTATCCAGAGAGAAGCAGAGATGTGAATCCCTGTGATACATAGGAACACTTGCAAGAAAAAGAAACAGGGGAAAAGACCAGTTGCCTGTTTACCTTGCAGTGCCTGAGAGGCCAGCCATACTCCTCCCTATGATTGAGTTCCAAAAGATTCTCATCACCTTATGATCCTTGTGCCTTACACTGATTCTCAATAGACTTAGACTAATTCTCAGACCAGCCTATTTCTATTTCCACCTCATATCTCTGGCCAGTCCAGAGAAAGCTTCTTTCTTCAGGGAGATAGAGCTGGCCTGCCACTCCCTCCTTCATGCCGATGGGAAAGCGAGTGGCAGAGAACTAGATGGCAATCCTGGAATCTTACAATTCCTGGGTTGTGGCCATCCAGGTGCCTGCCTCCCACTGGGGAAAGAAAGGAACTGACTGATAACGCAGTAGAGTTTGAGGGACACCCTCTCTGACCACACCCTCGGCTTTCTATACCATCTCCACCCCCTCATCTGTCTCCAGCAGCAAGGCTGAAGGCTGTAAATTCATTCTTAAAAAGCAGGGCTCTTTGGGAGTAAACAAAGGTATATAAACTATTGCTGGTCCCTAAGCTAGCAGTGACTAAACACTGCACTGGCTCCTCAAAATATAACTGGTTACATTCTTTAAATATATAAAAATCTATATATCCTTCATAGGATCTAACAGCATCTTCACAAACATGGGATAGAAACTAAAGCCTCGGATTTCTATTACTTTTAGGTTAATCATTTTTTAAAAAAATATGTTTTTATTGATTTTAGAGAGAGAGGAAGGGAGAGAGAGAGAGAAACATCGATCGGCCGCCTCCCACATGCACCCCAATAGTGGATTAAGCCCGAAACCTGGGCATATGCCCTGACTGGGAATTCAACCAGAGACCTTTCAGTGCACAGGACAATGCTCAATCAACTGAGCCATACCAGCCAGGGTTGGGTTAAACTTTTTAATGATTGTTTCCATCTCTAGGTCGCCAAATGTTCAGTATTTTCTATGTGAGAGGAATGGGTACCCTGCTAGAGAAATTCAAAGGCTATAGATGTCCAAGACAATTCAATGGGGGAAAGAATAGTCTTTTAAACAAATGGTGTTGGGACAACTGGATTTCCACACGCAAAAGAACCAAGTTGGAACCCCTACCTCACACTGTATATAAAAATGAACTCAAAATGGATCACCTGCCTAAATGTCAGAGCTAAAACTATAAAACTCTTAGAAGAAAACATGGAAATAAATCTTCATGACCTTCAATTAGGTGATGATTTCCTAGCTATAACACCAAAGGATAAGCAACAAAAAATAAATAAATAAATTGAACATCAACAAAATTTAAAACTTCTGTGCTTCAAAAGACACCATCAAGAAAGTGAAACAACAACTCATTAAATGGAAGAAAATATTTGCAAATAATATATTCAGATAAGATACTTACATTGACAATATATAAAGAACTCTTAGAACTCAAAAATAAAAAGACAAATAAACCAAATAGAAAATGGGCAAAGGATTTGAATGGACATTTTCTCCAAAGAAGATATATAAATGCATTCATAAAAACTAATCAATGTTATTAGTCTTTAGGAAAATACAAATTAAAACCACATGATGGCTTAGCTGGTTCAGCTCAGTGGATAGAGTGTTGGCCTGTAGACTGAAGGGTCCCAGGTTCAATTCTGGTCAAGGGCACGTACCTTGGATGCAGGCTTGATCCCCAGCCCTGGTTGGTAGGGATGCGTGCAGGAAGCAACCAATTGATGTACCTCTCTCACATCGATGTTTGTCTCTCTCTCTCTCCCCCACACTTCCACTTTCTCTAAAAATCAATAGACAAATATCCGTGGGTAGGGATTTAAAAAAACACACGCGAGATACCACTTCACACCCAGTAGGATGGCTATAATCAAAGAGACAGACAATAACAAGTGTTGGTAAGGATGTGAAGGAATTCAAACTCTGATACAATGCTGGTGTGGTGATAAAACTGTTTGGCTGTTTTAGAAAACAATTTGGCAGGATAAAAACAAAGATTTACATATATAAGATAAAGCAAAATTTTAAAAAGCATAAACATTCTAATTTTGCAGCTATTACTTGCATAATGATCTGTGGTTTGTGTTTTTTAACCTGTTGGAGTTAATTTTATTCCTATGTACAAAGACATACATGCAAACTAAAGAATTCTGCTCACCTATGCATACTCATTCCAACCAAATATGAAACATTTAGCAATAAAGTCCTTTCTCCAAAGGCATGCTTACTACTATGTCACTATTCAGTGTAAATATATAACAACCTTAATAAATAGACCAAATTGATTTTTTTCTCTTCATCAAGTGGGGCTCCCTGCAAATCCAGTCATACAAAAAAATTTCATTCATCTTTTCTTCAAATCTGAGCGTTTCTTTAAGCCAGATATCATTACATCCCCTCTAGTCCAGCTGCCAATCACAACGGCAACTTACTGCAACTCCACCCTTTTCCCACCTCCAGTTTCTTTCATTTTTTATTATTTTTAATATATTTTATTGATTTTTTACAGAGAGGAAGGGAGAGAGATAGAGAGTTAGAAACATTGATGAGAGAGAAACATCAATCAGCTGCCTCTTGCACAACCCGCAACCAAGATGTGCCTGCAACCAAGGTACATGCCCTTGACGGGAATCGAACCTGGGACCCTTCAGTCTGCATGAGCCAAACCGGTTAGGGCCTACCTTCCCTTTCAATAGTGCATTTAATTTCTTCCCTATTATAGAAAAATTAGGTTAGGAGTTCAAATCCTCAAAGTAGTTAAATGAACTGTCACATAAATATTATTTAACCCCAGGGAATTGTCTGTTTAATTGCCACTCTCTCCCTTCCCCCAAAGGACTGCATCTTATTTTGATGGTGTAATGGAAAGCACTGCATTAAGAAAGAGCAAAAACATAATGGGTTTACATTTTTAAACATCTAACCTTTTCACGAGTCACTGCTAATCGCTTGCACCTGTGCCTTTAATAATCAGCCTGGCAATTAGAAAAGCAAAATCCCCAGGACAGAACTAGTAGGGATGCCCCAATCACAGCCACTGCCATTTCCGGGAGAGAAGAAAAGCTGTTTTGTCATATGTGACATGAAGGAAGTTTTACGTTCGTTCCACCAAATCTTGAGAACAATAGAGCTCCTAGTACTTAAAATCCTCATCTTCTAAAAGTCACGATTTAAAAAAAACTACATCTTACTATATCTTCCAATATTAAGTTTTTACTACATTTTTCAACTTTAGGTCTCAGGTGGTGGTGGGGGGGTAAGAATTGGGGTGTGAGGAGAAGGCTCCGGAATAAGCACAATACTCAAGGCAGGGAGGGGAGCTAGCCTTTAAAATAATTTCTCCCAGGGAGAAATTAAGACCATTAACATTCCACCACTTAACCATTTACTTCATTACGAAAGGCAAACTTGGAGCACAAGGGGCAATATCCTGAAAGTGGGATGGAAGTGGTTCCGCATCAATGAGCACACAAGCTTGGAAGGTTCAGATATGGTCTGTCAGTTGTGGTCCACCCTGAGCAAGTCATTCCCCTGTGGGCTGAGGCTCCCATAGCATGGAAATCTTCCTTAACCGCCCGTGGCTGAACGGGATTTCCTGTGAGCAGCATCTGGACCACACCTCTGGTCAGGCAAGAAGCTGGCAAGGGCTGGAGGGCAAGGTGGCTGGTCCAAAGAAGGGGGGACAGGGCTAATCACCAAAATAGGTTCCTCTACAAATTCACAGGGAGAACCCCTAACATGGCTGTGCATCCTGTCCTGTTCTTGTCATCCGTCCTGGCCATCCGCTACCAGATGTTGGTCATTCTGTGGGCTGACTGGAAGGATTTTGTGGTCCGGCAGCTGCCAGCCTGTTACGACCTCAGCGATGTTGTGGAAGCATCCATTTGGTGTATAAAGAAGCTTTTAGGCATTAAAATACTGCCAAGGGGAATATCAGAGAACAAACTCCCCACCCACTGCAGAAGAAATTTCCCAGTGTCAAAGCATCTGGGATGAAGATTCCAAATTACCTGTAGCAAAATTTTCCTTTAGATTTTTTTTTTAAGTCCTCTTGCTTGCTGAGGAACCTCCTGAGAAACCTCCCAAAGATGATACCCACAGCTCAGGTCCTTGGTCCTACATCTCCCTATAGTTAGCGAAGGAAGGAGACGTGTTTGACAGTTACCCAGGATGCTTCCACTTGTAGCAAGAACGAACAGGAAAAAAGCATCCGGACACTCAACTCCTTAGAGATCCAAAGCCCTCCGAGGAATACAGAGAAGTCTCCCTCCCAACCTGCACCCCAACCCTCTTGCCGCCCTAGCTTCAGAGCAGCAGCCCTTCGGCTACTCCATGCGGCTCCGGGAGAAAACCCTTTATTCCACGGGGCTCCCGGGTCTGACCCCAGGAAAGCCCGGGGGGTCATCCTTCTCCCCGCCCTCCCAACCTCCCCACGCCACCCCGCCCCGCCACCTCCACCAGGCCCCCTTCTTACCTGATAATGTCGTCGTTGTGTCCCAGGAAGAATTTTTGGCTGTGCTCGCGGGTGTTGTAAACCACTCCGACCCCAGCCACAAAGTAGACCACCTCCTTGCCGGCCGTGTAGTACAGGTTGTTGCGGCACTGGTGACCCCGGTACCCGTAGACCCACTCCAGCCGGAGCTGGCAGCTGGGAGCCGTCCGATCCGCCATGATAAGCCGACCCCACTCGCCCCCCGGCCCCCCCGCGCGCCGGTCCGCGGCCCCTGCGCGCCGGGTCTGTCCTCGCCAAGGTCCGGGCTGCGGAGAGCCTGCAAGGGCTCAGAGTACAGCGCCGAGCCCGAGCGCTGATGTCCGCGGCGACGCACAGACACAGCCCTGCGCGCCGGGCGCCACCATCATCCGCCGCCGCCGCCGCCGGAGACGAGCCGCCGGTGCGCGGCCGCCAGACCCCGCCGGGCGCCCCGGCTCCCTCTCCCCGGCGAGGCGTCTTCGGAGGCGCCAGCACCCGCGCGCGCACGCCTCACTGCACCTGCAGGCTTCGGGTTCTTGGGGGGGTCACCCCGCCTCTTAAAGCAGGGATCCGCATATCCGAGCACTGATTACCCGGCTCTCTCCCTGAAGTTTGCAGTGCGCCGGGGCTTCCCGGCAGGCGGCGGGATTTATTCTGTGACGGCTTTGATTTGACACGGAACCCGGCTAAGCTTTGCCATCACCATCCTCGGATCCGAAACCGACGGTCTATATCCAAGATGCAAGAGCGAGGGAGAAAGAAACAATTTTTTTGCGTAAGTCTCCCAGTCCAAGAAAATTATCCACAAACTACAAGTTTGTTGTTGTTTTTTTTGTCAATTACTCCTTTCTCCCCCCCAGATTCATCTCCTTAATAATATGAAATATGACCTAAATGCTGCTGGCTGGTTGTTGCTGATAGGATTTGAAAGAACATTTGCTGTTTCCCCATGAAGCCAGGGTGAATATGCAGTGGTCATTTTTTTTTAGATGCTCCAATTAGTTGTTATGTATGTGCTTAAAATTCATATCCTCCGTGCACCCTTTCTGGGCCGGGAACACCGTAAAGAACTTAGCAGTTCTTACTAATCACCAACTCCAATTGCAAGCGTCATAAAAGATTTTTGTGAATCGGAGGAAACGAGACACTAGTGCAGCTGTTGGCAGGAGCGCTTTACCTACTAATGCTCCAGGTCAAAAGAAACCCTAAATAATTAACAAGTGGCAAAAAATCGTGTGCCTCTCCCCAGGAAGGTCTGCGCTAGCTAGTTACGGGGTCCCACCTCTAGCCCAGCGTGGGGCGGGGACGCCCGCGAAAACACTGGGGACCGCGAGCCCCCCACACGCACGCGCGCGCACGCACACACACGCGCGCATCGGCCGCCGTGGGTCCAAGGGATGCCAGCCCCCAGGGACACCCCGGCCCGCGAGCACTGCCGCCCTGGTGGCGTGCGGGACTCCCACACCCGATCCAGCCTCTCCCTCAGAGCATCCCCGCTTCTCTCCGCCTCTAACCTCTGCTCCGAGCCGGTGCCGCCACGGGCGAGCGAAATCCTCTGCCTGCCCTCCCCTCCCCGCCTCCCGCACCCGAGGGTGGGCTTCGTCACTGGACGCAGTGGAGACAGGTTCCTCGTCCAGCCCGGGCTCAGGAGGCGGGGCCACAGCGCCGCTTTCGGGAACCCTGGCGGTGGGTTACTAGGCTAGATCGCCGCACTTGGAAACCGCGGCGCTGCACCAGGGCTCTGGGGCCGCCCCTCCTTCTCCCGGCTCAGGTTGCCCTCTTCCCCGATGCATCCTGGGAAGTGTAGTCCCCTGAACGCCGGCTCAGTCGGGGAGCTCGCGCAGCTAGGCCACAAGTCCCAGGATTCCTCGCGCCCAGAGGGGGCCGCAGTGAGGCCGCTACCCACGGCACCTGCGGTTCTCCCGCTGGGCAGAGGCAGCCGCACCTGGGGCGACCCCTTGCCAGCGCCCGGCGTTCCCTGCTGACAGCGGTGGCCTGCCCGCGTGCGTGCGTTTGCATCTATGGAAAGAGCAATGGCGTTGGAATAGAGACCATCTCTACGGCCCACCTCAAGAGTTTTCTTCTGCACCAATCCCTGAGGGTTACTATAGCCGATTCAAGTCCAAATTTATTTCCCACTTCAGTTTTCTTTTTTATTCAAATGGGTTTTGTTCTGTTAAACTGCAGGTCTGCCAGGTTTAAAGAAAATGCTATGTAAGAACCAGTGCCTTCCCATGAGCCGCCTCCTAAGTTAGAGGACTTGGGTATCTATACTAATAATAGCCTAAGTGATCATCACGCCCTCGGCTGGGCAGGCGCTCTGCGTGGTGAGGCCTGGGGGTTCCCTGGCTCCATGCGGGCGGAGGAGGCAGGTCCCAGTGGAGGAGGCAGGTTGTGGCAGGGGAGGGCAGTTGGGAGCCATCAGGTCGGCAGGGGAGTGGTTAGGGGCAATCAGGCAGGCAGGCAGGCAGGCGAGCAGTTAGGAGCCAGCAGTCCCAGATTGTGAGTTGGACATCCCCCGAGGGGGTCCCAGATTGGAGAGGGTGCAGGCCCGGCTGAGGGACACCCCGCCCCCTCACGAATTTCTATATATATCCTATCTAATAAAAGAGAAACATGGTAATTAGCGTACAACCGCTACCCTTCCCATTGGCTAATCAGGGCGATATGCAAATTAACTGCCAGCCAAGATGGCGGCCGGCAGCCAGGCAGCTGGAAGCGAACATGAGGCTTGCTTGCTTCAGTGAAGGAGGACTCCAACGTGCCCCGCCTGCCTTGCCGGCCTCTGAGCTGGCAGTTTGAAACATTGTAACAAATATAGAAGCTAAACAAAGCCCCAGAAACCAGCTTTCAGCCAGCCAGGATCTCAGAGCTGGAGATGATACAGTCGCTTATAGAACCGAAACAAACCAGATACCTGCTTTCAGCAGCAGAGGCCTTGGCCCAGAATAAAAAAAAAAAGAAAAAAAGGAGCGGTTGGGAGCTTCAGTCACCCACCAGCCTGAAAACAGCCCTCAGCCCCTCACCCAGACTGGCCAAGCACCCCAGTGGGGACCCCCACCCTGAAAGGTGTGTGACCAGCTGCAAACA